GAATGGATCGACAACCAGGGTAACCAATGGCAGATGGGAGACAACCACCGCGGGGGCCTTGCCGACGTGACCCGCACCATTTTGGAAGCACACCAATTCCAGCACTGGGCCAATGCATCCAACCACTGGCTTGGCAAAGGCTCCGAGTTCGGCATCGACATATGCGACCTTAGCAGGAAGTTACGGAAGCTACGCAGACATGGGAAGTACCATGACGCGGGAATGTTGCAGGCAATTGCAAGTGCGGCGATGTGGACGCCAGAGCGCAAGCACCAGACGTTTGACAACATGGACAACAGATGCGAATGCGGAGTGGTATGCGATGACCCCCACAGAGCAGGGGGTACCTGCACAGCACGACACGACGACCACGAGGACTACGTGCAGACCAACACGACACGGGAACGCGCGATCGAGGGCAGCCAGCACGTGCCATGCTTTTGGTTGGGAGGACTGGTGCCGCGCGGGTGGACCACGCCGCCAGATTGCACGACCACCAACCAAGCACTAGACATCGGCAACGACGGCAGCACCGGCGGCAGCACCGACGCCATCACAACCATCAGCACTGACGGCAGCGGCGGAGAGCACGCCAGCGACCCGCGACACCGACGCTTCGGATGGGGATGGACAATTTTGACGGAGAGCGACGGAACATGGAAGATACAGCAGGCACAGCACGGACCACTACCAGGACGACGTCAGACCAACAACCGTGCGGAGTTGTGGGCCATCGACCAGGCACTGGAGTCCACTCAAGGCAGAGTGCTAATCTGGACCGACTCGGACGTGGCGATCCGCGGTTGGCAGAGGACGCATTTCTTCAGAGGAGGCCCGCGAAGAAACAACAGGGACGTCTGGGACGCAACGGAGGACGCACTCCGCCAGCGCAGCCTAAAGCTCGAGTGCCCATCGGAGTTGGTGGAGCTGCGGCACATCTCCAGCCACCTGGCGGCCGAGGAGATGGTGGCGCTGCACCTCGACGAACAGGCATGGCTCGGCAACGCGGTGGCTGATGCCCTGGCGGAGCGCGGTGCAGCGCAGCACGCGATCCCGAGGGCGCAGATGCGCATGTATGAGTGGGCACGTGCGACGGCTTCGCTCGTGTGGAAACGCCTCCTCCGCGCCCATCCAGACGCCGTCGCTCGAGATCCGTCGTCCCAGGAGGCCCAGGAAGCAGCGGGAGCAAGATTGATTAGATCTCGGAGGATGAGTGAGTTGAGCCAGGCCCTCTCATCCACCCCCCACCGCCTCCACCCTTCCCGTGGTAGATGGCAATGTAGTTTGTGCGACTAGGCAAGCAGCAGCAAGTCTGGGCTCACGACCATCAAAAGATGGCTTAGGATCTGCAAACCCCTGCCCCTGGGAACCCAAGGGCCCGTGGGGAAGTAGACACTAGGCACTGTGTCCAGATAGGTGCTAGATCAGTTCACCCTTCGCACACCATGGGGTATGCAGAGCATGCCCCCACGTGGTGGTGCAAAATCTATGGCCGTCGAGCCAAAGCGTCTGACGGGGCTGGTATTAAGGGGCTGTTCAGCCCCTGCGGGGCCCCCACTAATATTGGGAAGTACGTATTTTCTCGGCTGTCTCGGGGTAAGGATATCCCACACTAGCGCCCGTGCCCAGATTTTCAGAATCTCTGAGGCCCACGGGACCCGTGCCGCTCTAGGGGCCCCAAGTGCTTCTAGGCTCCCGACGCGGCACCCGCTTAGGCGAAACTCGACATCGTCGCCGCCGAATTCTCCCGAATTCTCCTCCTCCTTCTCCTCAGGTGAACTGGCCCTGGCAGGCCCAGAGTTGTGCACCGCGAGGCGGTTGGGCACCCGAGTAGATTGTAAGGCCGTCCTGGTTCCCGCCCTTTCGCCACAGCAGCCCCTGCACAAGCTCTAGCATTGTGTTTGGCTTGTCCCTGCAGAGGAGGAATAGTCGAAAATAGTGATGGAATAGTCGGTGGACGATTTTTGAACTATTTTTGTTTGTTGTTGTTGTTGTTGTTGTTGTCGTTGTCGTTGTCGTCGTCGTTGTCGTCGTCGTCGTTGTTGTAGGTTGTTGTGGTTGTGGTTGTGGTTGTGGTTGTGGTTGTGGTTGTTGTTGTTGTTGTTGTTGTTGTTGTTGTTGTTGTTGTTGTTGTTGTTGTGGTTGTTGTTGTTGTTGTTGTTGTTGTTGTTGTTGAAGTCTCATTTCTGCAGAAGAATAATTGTTGGTCCCCCCCACCGGTGCATATTGTTTTTTCTCCATCAAAGTGTGCCCTTCGACGCTCGCACCCTGTTTTTTGACAGGGAAATTCTTGGTGCTCAAACTGGGCCCCTGGCCCCCTGGTTACAACAACAACGGCTCCCGCCTGAGACTTCCTCACAATTTAGCCGGGACCCCCGCTCCCGCCCGAGACTTCCTCGCATTTGATTCAGGATCGCTCCCCCAATTTATTCAGGAATCGCACTCCCGGCGCTCTGGAGTCGCGCTCTCGCTGGAGACTTGCTTGCAACTTACTGAAGAATGGCCTGGCGTTGGAATTTCCTGCAACTTGCCCAAGCGCCGCGCTCCCGACACCCAGGCACCCAGGAGTCGCGCCCGTTGTGGCCCCATGTGCATGCCCTTCGTGGCCCCGCTGTCGCAATTTGTGTCCCCCTCGCTGTCCTACGTGGCCCAGTTGCTACCCTCAGTGGCCCCATAGTTGCTTTCTGTGGCTCCGCATCATCTGCACTTCGTGGCCCCCGCTCGTTCGCGCTCTTCGTGGCCCCATACGCATTCCCTTCGCGTCCCCGCTGTCGCCCTTCGTGGCCTACTTCGTGCCCTTCGTGGCCCTGCTGTCGTTCTCTTTCGCTCTCGCTTTCGCTCGTCGTCGCCGTCGTCGTCGTCGTCGCCGTCGTCTTCGACGTCGTCGTCGTCGTCGTCGTCGTCGTCGTGGTCGGTCCCCTGTCCGTCCCTCTTGGGTCGGGTCGACGGTCCGCGGCCGCCCCGCCGATCAGCGCTGCCACTGGCCAGGCCGACGGTCCGCGGCCGCCCCGCCGCTTGCTGGGGCCTGGCCTGCAGGGAAGAAAGGTATACCCCCCAAAAGGGGTTCGATCGAAGACGAAGAGGGCGGGTATCGATGGTTTGGGAAATACGCGTTAATGGACTCTCGAGCATATAAGGGTGAACAGTCTTAACATTATTGATGTTGTTGTTGTTGTTCATAGTTTGACTATTTTTGACTTATCGCCCAAGATCCACCTGTAGGCGGACACGCCCGACCTAACTCTAGCAGGTGGATGCTGGAATGTGTCGGCCACCGCTCTTGCCCTCCGCAGGTCCTAAAGCAGGTGTTTCATCGGCCTTGGAGAGAGCTGGATTGCACTCTGGGCCCTTTGGATGGGGTCGGAGTAGATCCATCGGCGATGCGGCGCGATCCTCCGACCCCACCCGCTCCGACCCCATCTGGGAGGCCTCTGATCACATGGTTCACACTCGTGGCCGCATGTTCTCCCGTCCCTAGGCCCCCTCGCGTGGCTGGGTGCACCAGCACTCCGGGCGTGACGGGTCGGCCTGCTCGCTCTGTTACCAGCCATCGCCGTGAGCCCCCCAGCCCAGATGCCTACGCATCATCGTAGCATGCATAGGCATGGCCGTATCCATGCCTAAGATGCGTAGGCATCCGCATGGGTATGCCTACGCATGCATCGAGGGATGCATCCACGGACGTAGCTGGGCGTAGCCCATGCTCAGGCATCGACCTGGTGATGCCTAGGCATCGAGCTGGCGATGCCTCAGCATCAGCATGAGGGCGCGCAAGGTACAGTCGGGGCGATGAAGAAGGAACACTTTTCGTTGGGGAGGGGCTCGGAGGTCCCTGATTGCTTAACAGTTTGCCTCATGTGTTCCTGAGGTCTTCCATGGGAAATTGAGGTTTAACGTGTGGGGAAAAAAGGGGCCTCGTTCCTTATTTAGGGTTCCTTAGGTCAACGCCCCGACTGTAGGCATCGATGGTTCAAGGTACCAGAGCCATTGGCCCGTGCCAAGCTCGGCCTCCACGTGCTCCGCGTGTGTATCGAGTGAGGTTGCTGCACGCCGCCCTCCGTGCCCGAGGCCACCAGCGCACCGCCCCTTCGCCGACGCTCGGCGCCCGGACCCTGCTTCGGAAGAGCAACAGGCAGCGATGATGATGCCGCCGCCGACGACGACGATGACGATGATGATAATGATAATGATGATGATGATGATGATGATGATGATGATGATGATGATGATGATGATGATGGTGATGATGATGATGATGATGATGATGATGATGATGATGATACTGAGCATGATAATGATGATGCTCATCATCATCATGCTGATGATGGTGATGACGGTAATGGTGATGGTGATGGTGATGGCGATGGTGATGGTGATGGTGATGATGCTGACGATGATGATGATGATGATGATGATGATGATGATGATGATGATGACGATGATGATACGTTCCGAGACTTGTGCTACTACAGTCGGCCCTGCTTGGTAGGCCGGCCTTGCCAAATCAAATGTGTGTCCTGTGCCTCGCGACCTTCCTGCGTTCCTAGGGCAACGTGACCCTCGGAAGGGTCTTGTGTCGTCTCGCGTGTCCTGTCCAATCAAGTCCGACTGTACACGCCGGTCGCTGCAAGTAGGGTTTTCTGGATTCTCAGATCCCTGCTTCTAGCGCCTGCCTACTTCAAGGATCGCTCCGCTTTTGCTGTGTCTTGTCACTCTCTGGGAGGGACTGAACCCAACCTGCTTTGTATATCCGCCTTCCTGCCTCATGTCTTTACCTACTCCTCCCGACCGACCTTCAGATCATTTCTCTGGGAATCCTGCAAAGTGTCTTGAGCCAGTCCTGATGGGCTTGTTTTCCTCCACCACCACCACCATAAGTCGGAGGGGCAGGAGGAGGAGGAGGAGGTAGAGGAGGAGGAGGAGGAGGAGGAGGAGGAGGAGGAGGACCCCTTCGCCCTCCAACTTGTGGTGGCGGTGGTGGTGGAAAACAAGCCCATCAGGTCCTGCCGCGGCTTCGCTCTCGCCCTTGCCTTCCGCTTCCCGCCCGCGCCCCTTCGCGCCTCGTGCCCGGCGCGCCCCGCTGGAGGCGCGACGCCCGCACCCGCGACCGCTGGCGGGCGCTGCGGATGCTACAAAAGAGCGGCTCGGGCAGGGCACCCCGAGACCTCAGAGAGGGGGAAAATGTACCCAGACCTCTACCCTTCGCTCGCTTTCCCCTTGTCGGGCCTCCTGGGCGGCCTTCGCCGCCACCGCAAGATTCGCCTCGAAATTCTGGTCAGAACGCACCGCACGAGAGGTCCGGGGAGCAGCGGTACCGGCACCTTTCGGTTTCCCCGAGATCCGGCGTTGCAAAAGGAAATGCAGCATTGCCAACACGAGTCACGACCAGAGCCCCGGACCCCATCTTTCTGCGCCCTCGCGTCGAGCCGCAGCCAGATCTGTGAGGGTCCCGGAGCCCGACACGGAGCGAAAGCGCCCGTTGCGGAATTATCCCGGCAAAGCAACCTAACAGCGATGTGTAGGAGCATATCTGGAAGCATTGCCCTCAAGATTCAGATGAGAATCCAGTTGTAGAATTCTGCTGTTCTCGCAGTCGTAGTCGCATTCAAGATTACAGTCGCAGTGGCAACGGCAGTCGCAGTCACAGCCTCAGCCTCAGCCTGCCTCAGCCTCAGCCTGCCTCAGCCTCAGCCTCAGCCTGCTTCAGCCTCAGCATCAGTCTGCCTTCAGCCTCGGCCTCAGCCTCAGCCTGCCTCAGCCTCAGCCTGCATCAGCCTCAGCCTCCGCCTCAGCCTGCATCAGCCTCAGCCTGCCTCAGCCTCAGCCTCAGCCTGTCTCGAGCCTCAGCACTCAGCCTGCCTCAGCCTGAGGCCTGCATCAGCCTCCAGCCTCAAGCCTCAGCCTGCCTCACATCAGCCGCCTCAGCCTCAGCCTCAGCCTCAGCCTGCTTCAGCCTCAGCCTCATCTGCCTTCAGCGCAAGCCTCAGTCGCGTTGCAGCTCGGCCTCAGCCTCAGCCTGCCTCAGTGAGAAGCCTGCACAGCCCCAGCCTCAGCTTCAGCAGCCTCAGCCTCAGCCTGCCTCAGCCTCAGCCTCAGCCTGCTTCAGCCTCAGCCTGCTTCAGCCTCAGCCTCAGTCTGCCTTCAGCCTCGGCCTCAGCCTCAGCCTGCCTCAGCCTCAGCCTGCATCAGCCTCAGCCTCAGCCTCGGCCTGCCTCATCCTCAGCCTGCCTCAGCCTCAGCCTCAGCCTGCCTCATCCTCAGCCTCAGTCTGCCTTCAGCCTCGGCCTCAGCCTCCGCCTGCCTCAGCCTCAGCCTGCATGAGCCTCAGCCTCAGCCTCAGCCTCAGCCTGCCTCAGCATCAGCCTGCCTCGGCCTCAGCCTCAGCCTGCCTCAGCCTCAGCCTCAGCTTCAGCCAGCCTCGGCCTCAGCCTCAGTCTGCCTCAGCCTCGGCCTCAGCCTCAGGCTGCCTCAGCCTCAGCCTGCATCAGCCTCAGCCTCAGCTTCAGCCAGCCTCAGCCTCAGCCTCAGCCTGCCTCAGCCTCAGCCTCAGCCTCAGCCTGCCTCAGCATCAGCCTGCCTCAGCCTCAGCCTCAGCGTGCCTCAGCCTCAGCCTCAGCCTGCCTCAGCCTCAGTCTGCCTTCAGCCTCGGCCTCAGCCTCAGCCTGCCTTAGCCTCAGCCTCAGCCTCAGCCTGCCTCAGCATCAGCCTGCCTCAGCCTCAGCCTCAGTCTGCCTCAGCCTCAGCCTGCATCAGCCTGAGCCTCAGCCTCAGCCTGCCTCAGCATCAGCCTGCCTCAGCCTGAGCCTGAGCCTCAGCCTGCTTCAGCCTCAGCCTCAGTCTGCCTTCAGCTTCGGCCTCAGCCTCAGTATGCCTCAGCCTCAGCCTGCATCAGCCTCAGCCTCAGCCTCAGCGTGCCTCAGCATCAGCCTGCCTCAGCCTCAGCCTCAGCCTGCCTCAGCCTCAGCCTGAGCCTGTATCAGCCTCAGCCTCAGTCTGCCTTCAGCCTCGGCCTTAGCCTCAGCCTGCCTCAGCCTCAGCCTGCCTCAGCCTCAGCATCAGCCTGCCTCAGCATTCAAAATGTGGCCCGGGAATGGAGTTCTGGGAACTCGAAGAACACGAAGTGGCCTACAGTTGGCTCCAGGCATTCAAAATCATGCCCAGGAATGGAGTTCTGGGAACTCGCAGACCACGAAGTGGCCTACAGTTGGCTCCAGGCATTCAAAATCATGCCCAGGAATGGAGTTCTGGGAACTCGCAGAACACGAAGTGGCTTACAGTTTGCTCCGGGCATTCAAAATCATGCCCAGGACTGGAGTTCTGGGAACTCGAAGACCACGAAGTGCGCTACTGTTGGCTAAAAAAGGAGTCCCCGGTTTTCCGCGGCACCCGTCCGGCATCTGCCCAGACCCCCTTGGGGAGTCATGATGCTCTCTTTTGGCCCTACTAGAAGCCTATCAGTCTTCGCTGTTAGGTAAAAGAGGATGCAGCGCCGGGGTCGGCCGTTGCTGCCAGCGGGGGCCCCCGCTGGACTCCGCGGGGCCTTCGGGCAGGCAACCTCGGGGGGAAGAGCCTGGCCCCATGGGGGAGCGGGGCGGGGGCTTCGGGGGCCCCTCTGCCGAACAGAGCAAGACATGTCGGAGGTGGATCGGCCTCCTACCCTGACACGTCGACCAGCGAATTGGCCGTCTTCGGTTCGCGAGAGGGCGGCGCGGCCGTCATTGTTGCGGGTCCAGGTCTGTCGGTTTCGGTCCTAGGCTCTTTTCACGAAATGGAGGTTTGCTGCAGCGAGGTTTGTCTACCGCCGAACGTTGGTGACGTTCGATCTCAACAGCTTCTTGGTTAGGGGAGCGAAAGTATCCCGGCAAAGCAACCTAACAGCGATGTGTATAAGCATATCTGGAAGCATTCCTCCTAAGATCCAGATGAGAATCCAGTTGTGGAATTCTGCTGTTCTCGCAGTCGCAGTCGCATTCGCAATGACAGTCACAGTGGCAACGGCCTTAGGATCCAATGGAATCCTAAGGATTCCTATGGATTCCTAAGGCATCCTTAGGCATTCTTAGGAATCCATAGGAATCCTTAGGAATCCTTCGGAATCCTGATTCCTAGGGATTCCTAGGGATTCTTAAGGATTCCTAGGGAATCCTAAAGATTCCTGAGGATGCTTAACTATGCCTACGGATTCCTAAGGATGCCTACGGATTCCTAAGGATTCCTAGGGATTCCTAGGGATTCCTGAGGATTCCTATGTATTCCTACTGATGTCTCAGCCTGCCTCAGTTTCAGCCTCAGCCTCAGCCTGCCTCGGCTTGCCTCAGCCTCAGCCTCAGCCTGCCTCGGCCTCAGCCTCAGCCTGCCTCAGCCTCAGTCTCAGCCTGCCTCGGCCTCAGCCTGCGTCAGCCTCAGACTCAGCCTGCCTCAGCATCAGCCTCAGCCTCAGCCTCAGCCTGCCTCAGCCTCAGCCTCAGCCTCAGCCTCAGCCTCAGCCTGCCTCGGCTTGCCTCAGCCTCAGCCTCAGCCTGCCTCGGCCTCAGCCTGCCTCGGCCTCAGCCTGCCTCAGCCTCCCCTCCTCCCCCCCTTCCCCCCCCCCATTCAGCCTCACCTTGTCTCAGCTTCGGCCTGCCTCGGCCTCATCCTCAGCCTCAGCCTCAGTCTCAGCCTCAGCCTGTCTCGGCCTGAGCCTGCCTCGGCCTCAGCCTCAGCCTGCCTCAGCCTCAGCCTGCCTCAGCCTCAGCCTCAGCCTGCTTCAGCCTCAGCCTCAGTCTGCCTTCAGCCTCACCTCAGCCTCAGCCTGCCTCAGCCTCAGCCTGCATCAGCCTCAGCCTCAGCCTGCTTTCGCCTCAAGCCTGCCTCAGCATCAGCCTCAGGCCTCATCAGCCTCACTCATCCTCAGCATCAGCCCTGCCTCAGCTTCAGCCTCAGCCTCAGCCTGCCTCAGCTTGCCTCAGCCTCAGCCTCAGCCTGCTTCAGCCTCAGCGTCAGCCTCTCAGCCTCAGCCTGCACCAGCCTCAGCCTCAGCCTCAGCCTCAGCCTCAGCCTGCCTCAGCCTCAGTCTCAGCCTACCTAAGCCTCGGCCTGCCTCAGCCTAAGCCTCAGCCTGCCTCGGCCTTAGCCTTCGTCAGCCTCAGCCTCAGCCTGCCTCAGCCTCAGCCTGCCTCAGCCTCAGCCTGAGTCTCAGCCTGCCTCGGCGTGCCTCAGCCTCAGCCTCAGCCTGCCTCGGCCTCAGCCTGCCTCGGCCTCTGCCTGCTTCAGCTCGGGCATTCAAAATATGGCACAGGACTGATGTTCTGGGAACACGAAGATCACGAAGTGGCCCACAGTCAGCTCCGGGCAATCAAAATATGGTACACGAATGGTGTTCTGGGAACACGTAGAACACGAAGTGGCCTACAGTTGGCTGCGGGCATTAAAATTGTGGCCTGGGAATGGTGTTCTGGGAACACGAAGAACACGAAGTGTTCTACAGTTTGCTCCGGGCATTCAAAATGTGGCCTGGGAATGGTGTTCTGGGAACACGAAGAACACGACGTGGCCTACAGTTGGCTCCGGGCATTCAACATGTGGCCTGGGAATTGTGTTCTGGGAACACGAAGAACACGAAGTGGCCTACAGTTGACTCCGGGCATTCAAAATCTGGCCTGGGAATGGTGTTTTGGGAATGGATTCCTAAGGATTCCTAAGAATTCTTAAGGATCCCTAAGGATTCCTGTGGCTGACCCTTTTGTCCGGTTCCTTGTCCGGATCCCGCCCAGACCCCCTTGGGGCATCAAGATGTTTTCTTTTGATCCCACTAGAAACCTATCAGCAAAAGCTGTTAGGTAAAAAACGGCAAAACATAAAAACTCAGAGGTCCGCGCGGATTTCTCCGATCCTCGCTGGACCCCCTGGCGGCACCTCCGGCGCCGCCCCTGGCGCGCTCCGCGCGCCAGGGAGGGCGCCGATCGGAGAAATCTGCGCGGACCTTCGAGTTTTAATGTTTATGTCATATGATTACCTGCTTGTCCCTTCCTCCTCTGCTCGGTTCCTCTCTTGCCCTCCCTTTCCTGGCCCGCTCTTCCTCGTCGGCCCCGCCCTCTGGCGCGAATGAGAGTTGCTCTGCCAGGGCAGCTCCGTCGGCGAGTAGCTGGGCGCCAGTATCATTGTGCGTGCTCCCTTAATCTAGGGTGAGGCCGGGCATGT